TGGTTGTCCTCGTCCTCCTCCTCTACAGGAGGCGGCAAGCTGACAGGAGCTGCAGCCGGCCTTTTCTTCGAAGGCTGCTTAGCAGCAGCAGCCTTGCTGGCAGCCTTCTTAGCTGCAGCGGGCTTCCTCAGGACAGGTTCACCCTGCCTCTTAAGTTTCCAATCCATGGATTTCTTCCAGAGGAGAATAGGCACTTCTGTTTTCTCGGGCTTGTTCGTCCCATAAGCTGCATACATGAAACCGTCGGTGCCTTCTGTCATGTCGGCTTCGTAGAGCCTACCTTTTTCGGTCCTCACCATGCAAGCCCTGTTCGCATCGTAGGCCCCGAGGCTCGGCTTGCCTGAAAGCTTTCGAGGCTGAGGGGCAGAAGCTTTCGCCTTGCTCTTGGCACTGCTGCTGCGCACCTCCTCCGAGGAGGAAATCTCCATTGCAGCTGGTGCATTTGGCGATTCGTCATCTGAAACACCAACTGGCGGGACAAGAGCATTTGCCTTGGCCGGCACTGCTGGCAAGCCATAGGAGGCTGCCAAGGCACCGAGCTCGCTCTCAAGACAAGCACCTCCAGAGGAGCTGGCTGTTGATCCAGTGGACAGGCGGGAGCCAGAGCCTGAGGCACTCTCCTTTTGCTTCTTCAAAAACGTCCCTTGCTCAAGAGACCTCCTGGGCCCGGCCAGCACCATGACCAACCTTCTCAAAGCATCCGGCTTGAGCTTCTTACCATTCAGTACCTGGCCCTTTTTGTCCCACACCAACTTGCAAGCACTTGCCACCACTTGACTGAACGAGATGGCCACTGCTTGATCCAGGCCTTGAAAGCATGCATTGCAACCTTCCTGAACCAATCCAGCAGTGACTCTCGGTGTGGCCAGCAAAAGTTCCTTGATGAGAAACTCATGGACTTCCAAAAACTGAAGCCCTGTGCTGGGGAACTCCCCTGCTTTGGGTCCCTCAGTACCAAAAGCTGCCTGTAGCAACGGGGCTATGTCTTTGCCACTGGCCGTGTTCTTTCTTCGGTCCCCCGACATTATTTTAGGCGGAGCGACGAGATCAAACCGATCAAGAGCTGTAGCCCATCGTGGCACATGCATCGTCGATCACACAAAATTTATGTGAAAAAATTACTGCTTAACACTAAATAGATGGTAATTTTCTGGTTGTTTTTGTCTTTGCTAAATTTAAGATGTAATCCTTATTTAGCAAGAAAAACCTCTTAATTAAGGAGTAAAACCTTCTAAATAGTCAATAATGCGTTTATTCTTCCTTATTTAAAAAATTCTTGTCTAATTAGCTTAGAAAAACGTCTATTTAAGGCAGACAAAAAAATTTAAGCAAGACAACCTTATTTAAGCAAGAATGGAAGCTCTGGGTGAATCCCAAGCCCATCCTTCCGGCGCAGTCCAGCGCTCTGCCGCCAAGGATAAGTCCGTGCCAATCGGACGTGCCTCTGGCTGCGATTTTACACCGCACAAAAATCTCGGTGTTGGGGCGACAATCGTCCGCCGTCTTGCCTTCCAGCAGCGTGACGCGCAAGACTGCTGCCCCTTTCAAAGGAACTGGGGCCCCCGATGCGATTCCATGCACATATTCGGGGTGGACCCACTTCTCAAGTCTCACGACCGGAAAGCCAGGATCCTCAGTGCCGATCCCAAGCTCTGCAGCCCGGTTCATCATGCCTACCACGAGTTCCTCAGTCACGTGGTTTGCGCCGGCGCAACCGTCAAGCATGCACTCGACTTTGCGGTCGAGGACCTGGACCACCGTTCTGTACTGGTAGCCTCCTGGCTCGTTGTCCGCCAGGTTATACCAGTCCTTCGGTAGATCGCGTGCTGCTGCACCGCGGCGTGTCCTGCGGCTCCTAGGACGCCTGCCTGGACGCCTGAGCTGCCTATCTGGACACTGAACGCGGCGAAGGGGTTAGACATGGAAGCACCGGAGGGCGGGGCCCAGTTGGCAGGCAAGGCCGGCGTCCCTCCTGAGGTCGTCAGGTTGTGGACCATGTCGCAGCTGGCTCCTTTCTTGCACGACCCATTCTTGGAGAAAAAGGGGCAAACAGTGCCTGGTGGCTTTGCCGCGCCTTTGGCCGCAGCCTTAGGCTTTGCGTTGGCTTTTGCTTTGCCACCTCCCTTCCCTTTGCCTTTACCTTTCGCAGTGGCAAAGGTTTGGTCACCCTTCTTGGCCGCGAGAGCTTTTCTGCGAAGCTCCTTGTCGTGGCTGTACGGGCAGGCATCCCCTTTCGGGCAATTCCCATGATCGCGAAAGTGGAAGCAGATCTTCTTGTCCGCTCCTTTGCCAGCTCCCTTCGACGTAGCAGCATACGTCTGGTCCGCGCCAGCTTTGGCCGCGGCAGCTGCTCCTTTCGCAGCAGCCTTCGCAGCGGCCTTGAGACTCTTAATCTCCTTCTGAGCCTCAGCCAGCGCGACCGCCGGGTCCGCGCTCTGCGAACCGGTGGCCGTGTACACAGAGTGGGAAACAGCCCTGTGCGCTGCTTCTCTCTGCTCGTACTCCAGAACGACTTTGTGGCTCTCCTCCCAAGTCTGCGGTCCTCGCAACCCGTCATCCTTGGGGTCGCCAGGCCACAACCTTTTGTCGTTCCGGATCTCCTTTTGGAGATAAGGGGGCATCTTGCGGAGGTATGAGAGATACAACTCTCGAGGGGTCTTCCCGAGACCTACTGCCTCAAGGTCCGCGATCGAGGCCTCAAACAAAGGCTCGAATTGGTGGCCTGTGAGCTTACCCTTAGCGAGAGAGGCGTGCTCACCATCCACGCGGACTTCTCTTTCCTCCCGCGATTCCCCGAACATCAAGTGTTTGTTCTTGATGCGGTCATACACCGCCTGTGGATCTGAGAGAACCTCTCCCGATTTCCACGCTGCGCGGTACGCGTTCGTGTACGTCTTCATGCGCGAGCCGCGGCAGCGCCCGCGTAGCGCTAACAGCTTTTCGCGCGCACTCATACCGCGACAGTTGTTGGCCAGCGCGCAGACGTCCTCGAACTCCTCGTAGAACAGGACAACGTCTCGCGCGTCCGACTTGTCGTCGGTCAGCGTCGGCCACGTGAGGTCAGTTTTGACCGTAGTTATGGAGCTTTGCCCGCCCCTCTGCGCTAACGCTTCTTTCAGCGCCTCAGTTTGGGCGGCGAGTGCGGCGGCGAGATCGCCCGCCGGGTGTTGGGACCCGGTCTGCGAACCTCCGCCGTCTGAACCTCGCTTCAGGGCTTCTATCTCCATCTCTAGCGCAGCAAGCTTCGCGCGCAAAGGGGAATCGCCGTCCGTCGCGCCCAGGACACGGGCCGCGGAAGGACCACCTGCAACCTCAGCAGTGTGCAAACCTCCACGGTCCAATCCTACCCCCAACCCACTTGCAGTCGCAGGCTGTGGGAGCCCTGGGGAACGCGGCCCCACGGCTTCAACTGGCACATCGGACGGGGAGCTCCAAACCTTCTCTTGGCTCGAGCTTTCTTTTCCCCCTAACGCGAGGATAAGCTCCCCGATGCATTGGATTTCGCGCTGAATCTCCTCTGCGTCTTCGGGGTCCTCGCCACCGCGCAAAGCCGCGACCGAGAACCTGGTCCGCAGCCGACGGACCATCTTCGTAGGATGCCAGTCCCCGCCTATCTTGGAGAACTCATCCGCAAGGAGGGTGGCTTTGGTGCTTAAGGCGTCAAGGTCACGGGAGCTCACCGTGACTCCATGCGCTTTCAGCGCGAGGACAATCCGCGAAACGCGCGTCAAGTAGTCCGCGACCGGTTCTTGGTCTGGACGGAAAATCGCGCGCAGCTCCGCCTGCAAGCCCTCTGCGGTGCCTGGCACTGAACCTGCTGTCGACGGCGGACCGGACGGTCCCGCCGGGCGGGACCCTGGTGCCGTAGCAGGGACATAGGCAGCACCGGTAGGGACCATGGCCAGCTCCCTAGCCGCGGCGCTGACGTCCACCCGCGGCGGACTGTCGCCTCCAGCGCCCGAGGCCTCAGGGACTAGCTCGGAGTCCTCTTCTTCTTCCTCTTCATCCTCGTCCTCCTCTTCGGCGTCATGGAGGAACTTCATGACTTTCCGCCAGAGAGCCGCCTCTTGCTCTGGCGTAGTGCTGACCCCATCCCGCTTGGACAATGGACGGCTGCCAGTCTCCCTACGCCACTTAAGCCAAGCGACGTAGCTCATCCGCTCGGGATAGGGAACGTCTCCACCCTCGATAGCTTCGAGGAGGGTGACGCCCTCAGCCTGACCTGCAACCTCTGCGGACATTGCCGCAACACAAGGCGAAAAGCCGCGCCTTGGTTAGCAGGCCGCAGGCGTGGCACGCGAAGCGCCGCGCCTTGGTTAACAGGCCGCAAGCGTGGCACACAGTCCACGCGTCCAGGTCACGGACCGCGACAGACAAGCAAAGCAATGCTTGCCCACTCGGGCCGTAGGCACAAGAGCTGTACGTTTCCCAGAACAGCCCCCAATTGTGAAGTCGACCAGCACTGGACTTGCACTAAGCCAATGCAATCACAGCCCGGTCACGCTGTTTTACGACTTCGTGAGTCCAAGCACTTGTGCAGCTACGCCTGAGTGCGTCCGGTCGGACCGCACAGCAACCTAGGAGCTACTGTACGACTCTACCGTGCTCAAAGGCACAAGCTCGGTACTTGAGCCAAAATATTGGCATTGATACGAATTGCAAATCTACACATGCAAAGGAAAACTACAGTACTGGTTCTGGCAGCTCTGCACATGGAACGTGCGTGCTTAGACCTGCTCACAATATGCGAATATGCATATATACATAGATAGATACTATATACTGTATTATATACATATACGCATATGGATATACAGATATATTTATATATGTAAAGCTGTATGTCTGTATGTCTGTATGTCTGTATGTCTGTATGTCATGTATGTTATGTATGTCATGTCATGTCATGTATGTATGTATGTATTTATGTATGTATGTATGTATGTATGTATGTATATCCACACATACATACACGTACTCCATTGGGTACATGGGCCCAGGTTAGCTGCAAGCATCTTCTTTATGGATGTGAACTTCACAGGCAGTCTGCAAAGTCTTGCCGTAACCCGTGGTGGTCAGAGCAACCCTTGATCCCTGAGCGTGAAACCCTTAGCTGCCTTAGCTCTAATCCCAAAGTCTTGGAGTGAGTCCACTACGCGGGCAGCAGAAGTATTCCCGAAGACCCAGACTCCGGGAGGCAAGATCAAAGCGCATGGAGGAAGTGGGGCACTAATGGCATTCCAACTACCGCAGCAGATGCGGCGACAGTTCACGAAAGGGAGCAAAACCTTCAATCCGGGGTGGGTGATTTCGGAAAGACCCCGGCCAACTTATCAAGAGCTGGGCTTTGTTCCCTTTGTTCCACGTTTTTTTCATGATACTTCTCAGTCCCCCGCCATTTGCTTTCAATATTCTTTTGCAGGCTCTGACTCTTGCAGCTTCTAGTCTGCCGATTTGCCTTCGAATCTTGCAAAGCGAACCCACTAAGTTCAACCTCACAGGTGACGTCATGGCGCCCGGAAATTTCTATGCCAGAAGAATGCACTTATCTTCCCTTGCAGCCTGCTATGTGTTGAGAACTGGACGCATTCAGTTTTGTGTGGGTCATGATGCAGTTGGGTCGCGCATCTTGCCGACGTCCAGATACACAGAAGAGATTGCACAAGAGTGAGGGGCAACCACCATGCTTGCACTAAGTCATTCCTGCCCGTTTAGATGTAGTTGTTCTGTCTGGATAACCAGCCAAGCTCTATGTTTTGGACTCTGCCAGGGCCTGTGCCACGATCTCGTTCAGTGATGTGCATGATGTGCGTATTGTGGACGGCTCAGGATCGGCCTCATGCATGCTCGAGTTGCTTTTTGGCTGCCGGCCTGCCGCAACTCGGCTTGGGTTGGGCTGGAGACCCTAAACCCTAAACCCTAAACCCTAAACCCTAGAGAGCACATGCTTCTTCAAACGCTGCTGTCTGCTTGCGTCGTGGCCTTGAAGGCAGATTCGCTACTTTCCACTTGCTGCTTAACCTGGCAACCGTTGCCCTGTACATTGGTGCAGCAAATACCCGCAGCGACAAGCACTGTGAGGCGCTCCCTCGAAGTCTTTTTAAACCAAACTTCCAAGCTTCCACAGCTTCCACACAGCTGAGCTTGAGTGGAATATGGTCTAGAATGTGTGATTTCTCTCTCCAGTTCTCTGCTTCTGAAGAGGTGTTGTGCTGGATGGCCTGCGCATTGTTTTTGCCCAGGAGTGGAGAATTGTACCCTCTTGTAGCCTTTCACCGGCCACGACTCATGAAAGCTGGTGCCAGGACATATGGGCTGCCGAATCAGCACCTCACTGATTCGATCACGTCGCAAAGAAATGCGCAGGACTATATTGGCACCAGCCTGAGGGGCTTCGTGGATCGTCTCAATTGCTGTTGCTACAGTTACACACTTGTCGCAGCCCTGAAGGTCGATCTGAGAATATCATGGTCTTCACTCTTGCTACATGCTCAGTGCTGTGCCATGCTGTGCCTGATGCATTGTAACATACTGAACACAGTGTGCTGGCTGTCTGTGCTTGTGCTCGTTTGCTTTCAAGGCCTTGGTGGTAAGGTGCATCACTGTTGGGGTCCAACCAGGCGCGACCAACGCATGATGCCACATGTTGCAGTCTTGCGAATGCGTCCCACTACTGGTAGCTCGGAATACAGATTTGTGCAGGGCACGTGCACGTCGGCGAAGAAAGCTTCTGCATCGTGATGTCTTGCCTTATGTCTCTTTGCTATATGACGACGAAGAAGTCAAGCTTGCGGCCTTGCGGCACAACTCCTGGCCGAGGGATGCAAAAGAGCTCAGGTTAGTTCTGCTTGTCAAGCTTCTGCTCTATGACGTTCACATCGCTGACCCTCGGTCCACGCAACTTCGCCCTCCATCTGTCACAACCTGTGCCGGCGTGAGTGAATACCAGTGAGCGGTGGACGTGAAGTTGTCCTGCTGTGATGTTTTTTTGGAGTCGCCTTTCCTTGAGCCCTTGAGCCCTCAGGATACTAAGTGGCATGCTGTGCGTGATGAGACATCACGGTGGCGCCCAGCGGCCTTCCTCAGCTTGGTTCCAGTTTCAATGGCTGGGGTGGCCCGATTGCTTTTGGCACCTTCTTGTGCGCGGGCGTGTGTGTGTGTGTGTGTGTGTGTGTGTGTGTGTGTGTGTGTGTGTGTGTGTGTGTGTGTGTGTGTGTGTGTGTGTGTGTGTGTGTGTGTGCGTGTGCGCGTGCGTGCGTGCGTGCGTGCGTGCGTGCGTGCGTGCGTGCGTGCGTGCGTGCGTGCGGGCGTGCGTGCGTGCGTGCGTGCGTGCGTGCGTGCGTGCGTGCGTGCGTGCGTGCGTGCGTGCGTGCGTGCGTGCGTGCGTGCGTGCGTGCATGCGTGCGTGTGCGTGTGTGCGTGCATGAATAACGCTAAACCGTGGCTTCTGAAACGGCATTTTGAAGCCGGAGCGAAGGTGATGATGATGGCATCTGGCTCCTTCTTGGTTCTCGATCAGCAATTTAAGGTCGGATCCTTAATCGGCCTTCGGCCCAAGCATCTTTTGAAGATTCTATGAGTATCATGTTTAAAGATGGGTGACGAAGACCCTAGCCCACTCCAGCTTTTGCACCTGCACCCTTGACTCGGGCATATCATCTCTTGAAAGACTTTGCAGGACTATGGAGATGCCGCTGCGGCAGCTAGCCAAAAAGCTGGACGAAGTTTCGGCCAAGGCTTCTTGGTGGCAGGGTGCACTCGACTAGCAGAGATTTTGTGCGAAGATGTGCAGATATGGGCAGGGAACAGTGAACAGTGGCCGAACAGAGACAAATGACATCAGATGTTTGACAGACTCTTCTGATTCTGCTCCCAGGTTTTGGTCTTATGCTGCTGTCAGTGACTGTCATGCGACTGCTTCACAACAAGCCTCCAGCCTCATCCGCGCGTAGCACGAGACGAGTGATGATGATGTGGAGGGTCGGCTCATATTCGCACCATGCGAGACAGACATGGAAGAACAACCCTTACTGAAGCAAGCTTGATGAGCATGCTTCCATCGTTGACTTGCAGGTGCAAGTCTGTGTGCAGCTGCTTTGTGCGGCCTTTGCGGTGTTCGTGGCTGGCAAGATCTCCGGCAAGCAAGGGCTCTATGCATGCGCCAGCGCTTGAGTTGCCCAGTGAACTGCACTCACCGTGAAGAGAGATCGCAGAATTGCATCATGTTGCGAAGATGTTTCGGCATGTGTCAAGCACACTTGGGACATGCGATCACTCACTGTCACTCACACAGAAGGCCAGAAAATCTGAGATGATCTGATGGTCAGGTCTTGGCGACGGCAACCCTCATTGTACTTAATCTTATGGACGAGTTCGAGGAGCTCCATTCCCACCGTTCAAATTGGAAGGTTGCCCATGCCTCAGCTACAGCGGGTTGGCAGGGTTTTTTTCACGACTTGGGGGGGGCGGGTGGGTGTTTCTGAGCAAGACGCAGCACTACAGCCTTTCCATGCAGGAACACATGCCAACCGGGCTCAAGTCAAGCACAGCGAAAAGGAGCAACACTTCCCGGATGTTAGCAAAGCTTAGATGTTAGCAGCAAAGCCTGACAAAGGTATAGTGAGATTGGAAGCCAAGTCCTCCGCACAGGTACGCACGCTTAGTGGCTTGAATGCAGAAGTCCCTACTGTGGACCTGTCCAGTCTTGCCACTCGTTGATGGCCAAGGCAAGATGCATGCGCTGACGAGGGCGATGAAGAAGGGCTCTCAAGCCAGTGATGACCTCTTGGGCTCACAAGACGGTACGCCGAAAGGAGCAATGACAGACTCGCCGAAGGATTCACCGAAGCATGTGTTGGAAACGGATTCGCCGAAAGATTCGCCGAAACATCTGTTGGAAGATTTGCCGAAAGTGTGATCTGCAGAGCTCCGCAGAACTGCGGTTCCGCCATGGTCCGCCCACTTGCGGCCCTTTGATGCCAATGATCGTTTATGCTGCTGTTTACCAAAACATCTGAGCTACTGCAGTTGCTCTTTGCCCACGGCAGTTTTTATTGTATTGAGCTTTCCGGTTGAATTCCACATGCACATGCTTCACCCTTAGTTCTTCGGCATACTGAGTCGCGAGTCGAATCCCTAGGCCCGAACCCTGTTCAGGTTCCTTTTCGAGCTATGAGGCTATCGGCTTCTGGGCTCTCGGTACTTGTCCTGCTTGCCTGCTCTTTCGGCTACAGGGCGGAGTGGTGCGGGGTTGGGCATAAACGGCAAAAGGCAATATGCTTGCTAGTTTCTGCCAATCGGCGCCTGACCATGACTAAAGCATAAGCATTTTCATGCAGCTCACACAGCTTGCCTGCCACTGCGTGCCCCATGGTCTTTGTGGGAGACAGGGATCCCGGAAGGCGGATTCTCATGGCACTACGGCTAAGTTATGCTAAGTTGCCTTGCACTTACGTCGTGATCAAATCCGCGGGGGCCATTCTGAATGCGGAAGGCGTTGCCACAGGCTGCCATGACCAAGAAGCAAGTTGCAGGATACTTCCTTGAGAGGCCGGGCCAGGCATTGTCAATGTCTGGCACAACGCATCAGCATTCCGTATTGGCTCTGCAGGCGGATTGGCAAAGGCTCCTATGCTACCGTTTGGAAGGGCCGCGATGGCAGCAACTTGACTGATATCCTGGCACCATGAGCCATAGCACAAGCACGCCCTCACGCATCGGAGTTTCTTAAGGAGATGAATTTGTCGCCGTCAAGGCGCGCGGACAGCGAGAGTGGCCCTGACTCGCTGTGACCACCTGCCTTAAGGTCATCAGTCGACAGACGGTGACAGAGACAGCACAGCTGCGACAGGAGGTCGAGGCACAAAGCACCACCGTACCAGTGCAGACCATCTGTTGGCCAAAAGTTGTGCTTGGATGCCGCAGGTCTTGCGGAAGATTTCTCACCCGAACATCGTCGCCAAGTTGCAGAGTTAATAGCAACTACCAGCACACGATTCTGCGATGAGTTGTTGAAATCACCGTGGCAGCTCAGGTCCGATTCCGGGACCTGAAGAAGAGCGCCGCTCACTTCTACCTCGTGCTGGAGTGCGCCTGCGATCTGGGTCCGGCTTTGGCTCGACGGGGCTCGGAGTGGCTGTTCCAAGAGGTATTGCGCGGGTGGCGACCTGTCGCAGTTCCTGCGAGAGCCCATGCCCCAAGATTTTTTGAACCATCAGAACTCTGAGAGCCGATGCTGGATCCTTGCCTTGCTAAGGAAGGGTCGGGTTGAAGAGGAGGCAGGGCTCACAGGGCTCCCAGAGTCGCAGAGTCACAATGCCTCTCACATGCCATGGGACTTCTCAGACGGCGCGACGGTTTCTTACGCAGATCGCCGAGGGACTTTCTGCCAGACACCCAAGGAAGTGTTGGGAGATGTTGGAGCACGCGCACCTTCACATGTCTGGAGGTTTTGGCAATCTGGCAACGTCTCAGGTGCTGCACCAAGTCAACGTGCTACATCGCGACCTCAAGCCACAGAATATCCTTCTTAGTGATTGTGGGGCGCTCAGTGAAAGCAGATCCCAGGCTAGAACCAAAGGCATCTGAAAACACTCCTAAGGGGGAGGGGACATCACACTGGAGGCTCGATGGACCCGGTACTGAAGATCGCGGATTTCGGATTCGCCCGTGCGCTTCCTCCACAAGACATGGCCCCTGCCCCACAGAGACGTAGAGGAACGGGCTTGAATTCATGCCCCTTGTGCGCAATTGCACGAGGCCGCCACGGTGTGTGGATCGCCCCTGTATATGGCCCCTGAGATCCTCAGTAAGGGGCCATGGCTCATTCCGCTGTTCTTGCGGTGGGTCTGGTCTGCTATCGTGGCAGATATAGTTTCCTTTCAGGACACGAGCCATACGATGCAAAAGCAGACTTGTGGTCAGTCAAAGCCTCAGACTTTATGCAAGCTGCAAGCAACGTCATGAGCTTCCGGCTGCCGAGGTCGGTGCCATACTCTTCGAGCTACTCATGGGAAGGCAGGAACCTTTTTGGCTGAGACATGCTGAGACTTTGAGGTTCTCACCCATGTCTTCAGAAGACTGGACAGAATGGAGCATTTCAGGACACCTTTTTCTGGAGCAAATCCTATGCAGCTTTTGGTCTGAGACCTGGAGCGCATGGCACTGCAGTTGATGAGCATGTGCCGTGTTTGCAGAACTGTAGAGCCGCGAAACGCCTTGCCATGAGTGTATCAACATTCAACGTAACTATGCTACTTTCAGGCAAACATCGAGAAGAACCCGGAGTTATCCTTCGAGGGCGTGCAGCTCTCATCCGAAGGCGTATGTTCCAGCTTGGTTTGCTTCCGTTTGTCCCATTTGTTTTGCTTTGCTTCGCCTTGCGCCAGGGCGAGAATTCTTGCGGGCGCTCCTCGTCAGTCCAGGGCAGCGGCTCTCCAGTCAGGCCTGCTGCACTCTGCGTCTCTCAGTGCATCTCTGTGCGCCTGCGCGAGTCCATGCGACACTTTCGATGGAGATGCTGGATACTATTGAACTAGAGGAAAGATTCGTACTCAGCTGGACACGACTCGTGGTTGAGGCGTTCATGCAGCACCCCTATGTCCGCATGGATCTCAAGATACAGGTTTTGTTTCCGAAGGCCTAACGACCAGACCCGCCCAGTTAGCCCAAATCCGTGCTGGGCAAGAAAGGTCTATCTTCCACGGCACTCACGCCTGCAGCATCGGCTCGGTGCACAGATGCCCCAGCCCAGCCTTCGCTCAGAGTTCTGAAGTGCATGTGCGAGGCGACTGATGAGAGCCCACGCCCGCCAAGCAATGCCGACAACCAGGCATGTCCGAGGGTTTGGCTGATGTGATGGACCTGTGCAGACTGTGAGTTGCATCAAAGTGCCATTAGCTGGTTGCCTTGCAGGATATATCCGCAGAAGGCAGCTTCATCATGACGGAATGGGTCTCGGACCCAAAGGTCCCGATTGCAGTGTGAGCGGTGAGTCTTGAGCTCTTGGGCTGCCCATGATCCGAACAGTTGTCGCAGATGAGTTGGTGCTCGTGACAGTAACAAGCAGGAGGACTGCTTTCCCAAATCCGGAGCAGCCTCACCTGTCCTGGCAGGGAGCCGCAGTTGAAACACAAAGATGACCGCTCTCCAGCCCGATAACTAAGTGCAAGTGTATGCGTTGATGCATGTTCCAAGGCATCGCCTGTCTCATGCTCGCCAGAAATGAGTCCGGCTCTTAAGATCCACTTCTCAGCCCTTCATCCATGCCGCCTTCTTGGGCTACTTGGCTACGCAGACTGTGATGCAAAGCTGGTGGGGGGTCCAGGTCCCCGAGACGCTGTGGAGGCGCACGGAGGCTTTGTGACGGCGAGCAGCTGCTCGTCGGCATTCTGCCAGAGCATGCTCTGCCTCCACGTCTAAACGGTATGCCTTAACTGCTTTTGCCGTTCCTTCTTTCTCCACACCCTCGACTAGCGGCTAGCGCACACCTGTGGATGCGACAAAGCGCCAAAGGAAGCACAACAACAAATCTCTCTTGTTCGATGCGCACGCTTCGAAATCCCCATCAGAATGGTTCTTGAGTGTCGGTGAGAAGGGGCTTTCCTCAGGGCTCATCCAACCCGTGTGGGGCATCCAGCTTCTCCAGGAGCCCAAGCCCCAAACAGGCCCTTGGAGTTGTTGAGAAGGGCTCCTGGAATTGAGAAAGCCTTGCGTTTTTGCGCGTTTCTGAGCGGTGTGAACAGCTGAAAATGCTCGAGGGATTCCAGCAGGATCTTGCTGCCATGCATGGTTTTGCACACCACAGCGCCATTGGGTGCTTCAGCGGCGGCTGCGACCCCCCCTCCCCCCCCCCTCCCCCCCAACTTTTTAAGCCGTGCAAGCTTGCTTCAAGGCATATGGCTTGTTTTGAAACCCATCATGCGAGCATTGTGTTTGCAAATGGGGAGCTGCGCCCCCTCCACAGCCCCCCCGCTGTTTTAAACCGTGCAAGCTTGCAAAAGGCAATTCACCCTTTCTGGAAACCATCATGCGGGCATTGTGCTTGCAAGCTTGCTTCAAGGAATCTGACTCTTGTTGAAACCCATCTTTGCAAATGCGGGGGGGTGGGGGGTGCGCGTCCCCCCAACCCACCCGTTTTTTCAAGAAGCTTGCTTCAAGGCATATGATTCTTTTTGAAACCCATCATGGGAGCATTACGTTTGCGAATGGGGGGGGGGGGGCAAAAGGCCGGAGCCTCAGCAGTCCTGGGTTAAAAAGGGGGGGGGGGGGGCAAAATCATTAAGAATTCGAGCAAAATCAATAATGCCAAAGAAAACGGAGCCAAAATTAAGACGAGTTCGAGCAAAATCAAGAAATTTCCACACATTAAGAAAAAAGCACATGATCCTGTTCAAATATGAAGGGGGTACAGGTTTTTCTGAGGGAAAACCAAGGAAACGGAGCAAAGATTGAGAAGGATTCGAGCAAAATTAGTAAGAAACCCTACGAACGGTAGTATGTTCGAGCAAATGAATAAAAAATCCTATATGAACATATGGAGGGAATGGAGGGTTTCCTAGGAAAAACTAAGAAAATTGACCTCTCCTAGCCAAAAACCTAAGGAAGCGGAGGATTCCCTCTCAAAATATAGAGGGAATAGAGGTTTTCCTTAGGAAAAACCAAGGAAACGCACCGTTAATTATTTCTTGATCCCAAAGAAGTGTTTTTTGATCCCCAGAAATACAGTATTTTTTGACCCTAAATATTTTTTTGATCTCATACCCAGACCTTCCCATGCTACCGAAGCACGGAGAGAACTGTGTCGGTAAATGCGTGCTTTCTCTCATCACATCTGTGACGGTGCCAGAGTAGTGGGGTTTTCCAGATTACTTTTGGCCTGTCCATAACAGGTCCTACAAGTGCAATTGCTGTTCCTGCGGCCGCTGTTGCTCTTTGTTCTTCATTGTCTTCTGTCCCTTGTCTTCTGTTGTGTTACTGGCACATCAGGCAGTGCTAGTGGCGGCTGCGAGCTAAGCATTTCTTCATGTGCCACCGAAAACTCCTGCAGCAAAGCGTGCAAACCTGAATCCAGGGGATGCGGCGCCCAATGAAAATAGCGATCCAGTGAAGAAGGCCAGGGAGTTTCGCGGTTGCGCGTAGCATGTTTCTTGACCCTCATCGAAACACAGGGCCAGCACAGACTGAGCAGGTAGAGGAGCTATCGGCATCTGAGGTCTCACCCCCAGAGGTGACAAAAGAGCATGAAAAATCTGTGGCACTGGTGGGATTCAGCTTTAACAAGTTTTTTCCAACCCTAAACCCTCAACCCTCAACCCTAAACTACCCTACTCCACGGCCGCGTACTTTGTGTGCTGCAAGGCAAGACCTTCATCCGAGACCCGCGTGGCCTCCTTGGCATTGTTGCTCGAGAGCTTATCTGCAGATACATGCGACCTTCGCAAGGCATCCGGCGCGTCTGGAGGCTCCGATGCAATGTCCGGGAAGGCCGCCGCAACACCTTTGCGTGCTAAATTCTAGCATATAGGCCTCTAGAATGTTATGTAGTGGCATCCAGAAGATCTGTCCACAGTACCGGGTTTTGTGCACCATTATTGCGCATCTTTCAGAGTGATCCATTATATCGTATTTAGTATTGCATTTTATTAAATATTCTGATTCAACATTACATGACCAAGTACAGTATTGTCATAAATTATGTTCTTAAGCCATCAAACCGAACCGGCCCCGGCCATGCATCTTTGTACTGGTCGTGGTGCCTGCAAAAGGTTGACTATGCCTCTGCACGAAAACCCCACTCATAACAACCTCGAAGCCTTTCAACAGAAGCATTTCGAAAACGCTGGCACCACATCGCACTCTTCTGTTTCCATGATGGGTGTACCCCGAATATGATCCAAAAGCACTACTCTAATCCTTCTTGAAATGTTCCCCGATGCAGGAGCCTCTCCATTCTCCCAAGACACTGCTACGGTATTAAAGCTGCTGCAACTCAGAGAAGAA